TGTATGTCATGTGGAACTGCAGCTAACCAATCTGAATGCCATCTGCCTGTCACAGATTATTTACCTTCAAGAAAAGTCATCCTGAAGAGCTTTTTGTTCTGCTTGCACTCAATGCAGAGCAATATGATTCTTCTGAGCAAGCTCTTTTGAAGAAATGATTGCTAGTATTTTTTAAATAATAAGCATGTACATCCTTACTAAAGGTAGGTATGTTTAGAAGTTCTTTACAGATACCATTTTCAAATAATTCAGTGGATGTTCTTAGCCAAGTCCGTAGACTTACTTAAGGGAAGTGAAAATGTTATGATGTACAAACATATATTTGATGGGGAAGAAAAGGGAAGTAGTTAGCTGCTTCTAAACCTGATAAGCAAGAAGAGTAGCCATGCTATTTGGAATACTTGCAGCTAATGATCCAAAACATAATGCAATGCATAACATAGATTGTTCTATATAAAAGAATAATTTAAAAACTGGGGCTAATGATGCCCTCAGGTTTTACTGATGACATCTTCCCTGGAGAATTATGTCTGATATCTTGCATGTATGCATTATTTTTGGTGACTGCATAACCATTAAATCTATTTCATCAATCTTATACACTAAACCAACTGCTAAAAATGTCCTGGTTTCAAAAAATGTTTCAGACTGGAGTTTTTTTTTCAGTCAACAGGTACACTGATAAATTGAGACCATCTTCAGTATGATATTTAATTTCCAAAATATAAATATTAGAGTATTAGTATTATCTGAGGATTACATGACCAGCAGTATCCTCCTGAGATAGTTCTCACCACCTCATCCCAGAGTAAACCATGTCATACAACTCGGTTCACGAACTGATTAAGATCCATCTTTTAGTGCAGCAGATGATCAGCAGCCTCTCCTTTTACCAAAAGCAACAGAAACTGTTCTCTTTGCTAGCAACTTATTCCTAAATTTGAGTGTGATTTTAATATAGTCTTATGTAGAAAATTTTGCCTTCCATACTCATTGAAATGATTCTTTCACTCTTAAAGATTTAAATCATAATTCCAGTCAATTTTGAGAAACTAATAATAATTTTACTTGCAACATTTTTCTGTAAATAGATGTATCTATAGAATTCTTGTTTATTCTTGTTCCTCTTAATTTCCTGGTACTTCATTTGATAAATATAGGGTTAATACAATAAATCTGACATTCTTCATGCAAACACAGCCTCAATTATTTTCAGAAAGAAGACTTTAAAAACAGTTATTAAACACCTATTCCCTAAGCTGCCAAAAAAATAGAAAAGGTTCTTCTAAGACCCTGCTGTTCACCCAGTACATTAAAGTCAAGGACATGTCCAAGGTTTCAGATTCTTTAATCATGCTAGCTTAGCTTCAGTTGTTCATTTTTAGCATGTAGTTAGACCAATATAATTACTACTTTATGCAGCTGGGAGAAAATATATGTACCACTGTAGCTGCTTAACTCCAGTGTGCCAAGCACAACACGTAGTCTTTCAAAGCTTGGAGCAACATCTGCTCTCGTAGATTTGCTATAATAAGACTCCCTAGGCTGGGGTTGTTGGATGCCTGACCCTAGTGTTGTCAGGATGGTTAAATGCAATGTAGCATTCAGCCAGCTGTCTCAGCTCTGTTGGATGAATGAGTTTAAAGACACGTAGAGTGTTGCCGTGCAGAGGTCAGATACATGGAAAAGGCACTTCAGTAACATTAATGCAGGTATTAAAATAATGCTATATCAGAATAAGGTAGTATCTGGACAAATATCTTTTAGGCAGTACCTCAGTAATTTATCTGTGTGTGGTATCTTGGACTGTTGTTGTGTGCAGTGTCAATTTCTGCACTTTGCAGTATATATCAGAACTGGGAATTGTTGCTTTGAACTTTTTCATGTGCTTCTCTTAAAACTCAGTGAAATGAAGCTCACTGAATAAATTTTATTTTCAGCAGATTTTTCAAAGTAATTTTTTTTTTGAAAGAACAACAATCAGAATATTGGCTTATCGGTACTAAAATGCTAGATATTTTAGTGTAAAATATCTAACATTTAAAAAAAATCCAAAATACATAACACTAACTGTTTCTTAAAAGATTTAGTCTGTTTCCCATCCTCCTTATTTCTTTGCAAAAGTACCTATTCACCTGTTACTTGTTTGATTTTGCACATTTAAGCTAAGTTTTACTCCACCAGCCACTTCTTATTTCCTCTTCAGTAAAATTTCCAACTCTAATTCACTTGTCTTCCTAGTCCAAAAGTACTTGTCTCCTGTTGGATGAAAGAATAGGTTGAGAGATGCCTTCTGTTCGTGTCTGTCTGATATTATTAAACTCCAGCTGGTTAAACAGTCGATTTAATCAATACTTTCCTGGCTGAGACTGTGTGTATCACACTCTAGCCTACACAGCCAGAGAAACTGGAGGAAACTGGAGCTCCCCGGTTTGGAGCCATGGGGCCAGTGCCCTCAGGCCAGCAGATGTTTCACCTGCTTCCCCAGCTGTGACTCAAAAATAAGGATGGTGTGGTCTCCCTGATTTTAGTTTGACAGTTACTGTGGCAGCTTTAACATGTTAACTGCTAAGAAGGCAATAGGAAGGGTAACTCCGGCTTTCTTTAAGTTTATTCTGTTCTCTGCTTAATTAGTGTACTGAAGAAATCCATCAGATGGGAAGCTGATGCAGTGACAGCATTCATGGCATCTTCCCTGTGCATGTGCAGAAGGACACTGGAAATGCCAGCCTCTCATTTAAGGTAAGCTTGTCTATGGCAAAGACCTGGGCAATCCTGCTGTACTCATCCTGTGTACAGGCAGGTTTTAATCCAATTTCAGTCTGTGCTCCTGAGCCTTACGCAGAAATTTAAACAAATTTTGAGCACTGTACAAAATACACAGAACAAAATAAACTTCTGATCAAGTTTTCACTAGTCTAGGACACATGTCCTGCAGTTTTACTTGAACTGAAATTTTCAGGTGTGCATAGATCACCTGGAGTGTGCTCTTGTATTCTTGGGTGAGAGTTACAGTTTTGAGGACTTGGCTCCTCTGTGTTGTTTGTTCATGTTGGGGCAACGCTATTCAGCTGCAGGAGCAGCACTTTGAAATAAGGAAGGGAATGGAGAGATTTGTCCTTTTGCAAGCTGAATTCCCATTTTACAACATTATATAACTAATCCTGGTTTCAGCACTTCAGCAGGATGACAGTGGCAGGTATTCAGCTCATTTCCTGTCACATCACCATAGTGTAATGTTGGATTTAGCAGGGTGAAATGAGGATTTTCATCTCTTACTACCTCTTACGTCTCTCTCTGGAGCCAGTAATAGCCATGCTCCCTGCGGGTGTTCAGGACTGTTTTTCAGAGAGTGAAAGACTGTTCCTTTTTTCTGGACAATGAATTGAACTAAAAGTGAAGGTGCAAGTAGTTTGTCCTTGGATGAGGGAGGGAATCTTTGGTTTAGTGCTGAATTTGGTGGCCAGGAAATTGCATAAATTGAATACGCAAGTTCTTGGCAGATGCTGTGTTTCTACCAGATTTGGAGGAGGAATGGGGGCTTGAGAGTAGAACTTTGAAACATTGTGCTTAGAATTTAAACTAGATGCGGCAGCAAGCTCTCTTTGCAACTCTCTTTCACTTTTAACTGCATTTTTAATTTGCACTACATGTTTCACTTAGAGAGTGAAATGCCAAACAGATTCACTTGCAGATTTGGCTTCTGAGACTGTCTGCTATGTAGTAAAAAGCAAAGTGTTATGCCAGGTTCTGAAGACAGAAGCAAAAAGAGTTTTAGATATTTTCAGGCCATTTATATCCTGAAACAAAAAGAAATTACGTACCAAGCAAATGACAGAATTAGGAACACATTCCATACTCCTGTTACATTGATCACTACAACTAAGAAGCTATAGGACAGGTATAAAGAGCATCTGGTCCTATAGTGGGCGTCTGCTCTCCATGAGTATTTCACATTGAACAGCCAGCAGATAAAGTATAGCTTGGTAGATTCTTCTTAAACTAAAGAAAAAAATATAGGTAGGAACTAAGATTAAATAGACAAAACATAACCAGGCTTCCTATTTAAGGATTATCAACTTGTGAAGTGAAAAAGTAGAGACATTAAGAGCTTGAAAGGTATTTGTTAGCAAATTGATGATATTTCTGTTTCAGTGAATATAGTTGCTTTGGCCAGCTACATCATTAAGATTGTTAATATAATTGCTCTAAGTCATTTTCTGAGAGTAGAAAAAGAACTCTTAAATTAGAAGAAATGTTGAAATCACTCAAAAACCTTTTAGTAACTTTGACAGAGGAAAAGAGGAAAAACTGTTGAGCTTTGTTTTGTTATTCTGTGATTCAGTAGATGCAGTTTGTAAGGGCATGAGCACATTGAACTTGAACTGTCAGATTTTAGTTCATGCATTTGACAGTCTCTTCAAATGTGTCTTATAAGCATGATATAGCAGCCTTATCATTATTATGTGCCTGAAACTGAGCAGATGTCCAACTCTGACAATTTCATGACAATTCTGTGACCAAGAAATACTGCCAGAAATACCAGTGGTTCCCTAAGGTGGTTTTTCTGTCACTATGGAGAAATGCATTAAACCCAGCCTTTCAACACTGTTCTGTGGGAAAGCACAACTGTCTTAAGGCCAGAAGTACAGGCATCTGAAAAGCCACCAGTGTCAGCCTTTACAGTCAGACTTTTTGCAGGTAAAATAAAGCTTGTAAGAAGCTGGCTTCCCTTACTCTCTAAGTGCAGTGGCACAATAATTGAATGTGTAAGGTAGGGTCTCACAGAAGCTTGCAGTACAGTTCCCAGGTTTGTTAAGCCTCTGCCTGTGATTTGGGTTGCACTTCATTTATTGAAATGGTATCTGTGATTGATTTGCATCCATCGTAAGGCATTCAATAATTCAAGCAGAGTTATTAGGCAATGCAGACTAGGCAACACGAATATTCTCTCTGATAGAAGATCTTCCTTCATCCCATTTCTCTGTTGCTACTCTTACCTCCCTTACTGAACTCACAACCACCATGCATGCAGCCAGTGACATGAGTAAATACACTGGATTGTTGTTCGCCGGAACCTGTCGCATCCCCGCAGCAGAAGGCAGCTCTTCTGCACCCCTTCCAAGGACAGAGTGAGTGGGGTGGGAGGGAAGTGACTACGTCAGGTGTCAGATCTGCATGTGCTATTTCTGACCCCAGCACAGCTTCACTGCAGCAGATCTCTTTCTTCTCTGACGCAGATCTCTTTCTGTGCTGCAGCTTCTTATCTAAAATACAAAAAAAACATTTTGTAAAACATGGACTTTTTCCCTCACTGACGTAAAATTAAAATACTAAAAAGCTTTATGTTCTTCTCTTGGCACTGTGTGGAAGACACATTGATGGCATTGGATAGCACAGACACATAGTGAAGACACACTGGATAGCAGAAATAGTTGACCTGCCACCCAGTTCTGCAATTTTAAACACAGCTAATTACACATGATGGCTGCCAGATGGTTTAGTATATCTTTAGTATCCATGGTTGACAAACAGAATTAATATTCATAAAATTGAGATTTTTGCTACTTGGAAGTGTACTAAATTGGAAACTGCCCACCAAGTAAATATCCTGCTAGCTTTTCTAATAGGATGGTGTGCACTGAAGCCTTGTTAAGTGCACTTTGCCTCTACAAGGCATTTTCCTGATGTTTCCTTACTCTAAATAGGAGGAATATCCTGCTCTCTTTAGTACTTCCAACATACAGATGCAGGCAGGGTACCTATTTCACTGGAAACTGCAGTGACACCGTGTCCGAGTCAACACAGGCAGGATGCAGGAACAACCACAAAACCATGGACAAAATGCAAAGACTAAATGTAATCTTGGTACCTCACCGACCAGGGGATCTCCGAAGCAGCATCCAGGCAGAGGCATGCAAGTGGGGAATGCAGGCACCAAGGAGACTGAGAGTCCTTACTGAAGAGTTTTTCCTTGTTAGTGAGGGAGTCCTTGCTAGTGAGAGACAGAGCTCAAACCTGCTGTTCTCGCCTGTGTACCAGGGATTCAAGCAGGCACAGTTTTCCACTGTGCTTTGATATTCTCTGGCAGCAGGGCAGGAATCTCAGGCATGTTCGACAAGTTGCCTCTGATTCCACCACAGGCCTATGTTATCTAAGCACAGATGTACTACTTGTCGAGCACATAAGACTAAAAAACAATTCGTGTGATACATGTGTCTTCTGACACCCCAAGTGCAAGTCACTTGAGTGTGAAATCCTCCTCGCCGATCTGCCGTTACTTCCCCACACACCGACATACACAAGTGACAGCTCCACAGACTTGATATCAAGGTATGCATTGACACAATTTTTCCAATGAGTTTTGTAAGAGAAGTGATTTGCCTCTCCTGTTTTTAAAGTGTGGGTAGTGCCTACTTCTGTCCCCACCCTCAGCTGCACTGAAATTTTGGTTGAAGCAATTTACAGGGTGCAGGTGTCAAGGTGCTGGCATCCAGGACCTGTAAGGATGGCTCCAACTGATCCACCACAGGGCGCGTCTGAGGTCTTCCACCATGGTGGTCACACCTCGGGGAAAGCCTGTATCAGAAAGGGCAAAACACTGCACAGTCAGTGAGAAGTGAGAGGGAGAGTGTGAGAAACAGCCCTCCGGGCAGTAAAGTCAGAGAAGGGGGAAGGAGGTTCTCCAGGCACCCAGGCAGAGATTCTGCTGCAGCCCCTGAAGGAGAACACGCTGCAGCTGGCATCCACGCTGTGGCCTGTGGAGAGGACCGTGCTGGAGGAGGTAGATGTGTCCTGGAGGAGCTGCAGCCCATAGAGAGCAGGTTTACCTGAAGCCCATGGGAAGGAGACACCCTACAGGAGAAAAGAGTGCAGAGGACAGAGAAGCAGAGAGGAGCTGTTATGAACAGACCCCAGGCCCTGTTCCCCATCCCCTGTGCTGCGTGGGGAGTTGAAGTAGAGGAGTCAGGAATGAGACAGTGAAGTTGAGCATGGAAAAAAGCAGGGCTGTAGGGAAGCTGTTGATTTTATTTGTCTTTCTTTCTCAGCATGGTCCTCTATTTTATTTGGGGATAAATTAAATTCATTTTCTCCAAGTCAAGTATGTTTTCCTCATGACAATAACTGGCAAGCAGCGTCCCTGTCTTTTTCTCGACCTGTCAGCTTTTTCATCTTATTTTCTCCCCCATCCTGCTGAGGAGGCAGAATGAGAGAGCGGCTGTGTGGGCAGCCGGCCATGGTCAGCCCATCAAAATCATTTACAACAGAAATTGGTACGCTTTCGGAGTCCTTCTTGGTAAGTACAGGTAGTCAGCATGATTATTTTCACGAGTCCAGATTACATGTGCTTAGTTGCTATGTTTTGTTTCTGTGAACAAATTGTTACCCACTTATTTCTAAAACTTTGCAGACATACAATGAACTCAGAAGACAGGATTACAGTGCCATTCAGAGAAACCACAGCTCACTCTACCCCTGTTAATAAGCTGCTTTCCTCTGGCTTCTGCATGTTGCTAATCCGATTTAGAAAGGGAACAGCTTCCAGACACCTTTAAGGTGAAAGGCAAAGATCAGATATTTTCATGCGAAGTCTGAATTGCTCCCCCATCAAGGACTCAAGGAACATATAGAATTGTTTTCAGGAATCTTTTTCTATATTGTCCTATCCTGTCTCACAGTATCTGGAAAGTTTACTATGTATGCATGTTTACTGGGGCCTCGTGTTATTGTCAGATGTCAGAGGTTGGTTGTCCAAAGCACACATTCACATTCTCTGAGGTTTGTCGCAGCAGGAAACTTCAGGTTTTCAAACTTTTCCAGGAATTATCTACAGAATTAAACAGCCTGATATGGTTCTTCTGATGAGCTTCATTTTAGATCAAAGGATTTGATAATTATATTGGTATCAGAGGGCAGGTTTATTAGTTGTCTTGGCCATTTTCTCCAGTACTGCTGACCTAGTATTTTTTTAAATACTCCAATTTCACCTTTAAGGTATAGGAGGATAAATCGGCTGCGAAAATGTCATTATTCAACAGCTGGCAGTAAAGAGTTAGTTTGCTCATCTATGGTTTCCATACCCTCCTGAATTTAATTGGTGTTCTCTCCTTTCTTTATTTGATTTTGTTCAGCTGTTGTTCATTTACAAACTTCTCTTGACTCCTTTTATACAGGCGAATATAACTCATGTCCTGAATGTAAATTCTAATTATTTTTCCTTCTAAATAAGAACAACCAGAGATTCCTCCTGAACAATAAAGAAGCCAGAATCATAGAACATCCAGGTAAAAAATACTATTTAAAATTCATTTGTATTCCAGATTATGTGCAACTAGATAGGTGTAATTATTCTTTGTGGATGTTACTTTGTAAGGAAAAGAGTGTTCTTTCATTTATGTTCTTGAATTTATTAACAGAGGCATGTTTAATACTCCAGAGAGCCTTCTTAAATTAGCTGAAGTAGACAAAATGTTAAGCCTAATTCAGAAACCTGAGCTCAACTTTAGCTTGAAGTTATTGTCGCAAAGTGGTTTACTCTTAACAGTGAATGCCAACATGCTGACCTATTACATGATGATGAAAATGCCTTAAAAATGTAAAAAAGAAAACTGTAATACATCAGCAAATTTGCCTGCAAACAATGATCTTTACTTTCTAAACTCTTCCAGATTTCCTGAGCCCTTATTTTAATTGCACTTTCCTCTTCTAAAAGCATCAAAGCTGTGCCTTCCTACTTGTAGAGTGCAACTTCTTAGTGATGAGAAGAAATTCTCTAACGTGTATTTTCATCAGCTTTTCAGACTGACACTCAGAGGAATATTCTTTGTCAATACTCCATGAAAAAAACATTTGAATAAATGTCGTGCTTACTGATTTTTTTTCATATCTTAAAATTTGTCACGAATTACAGGAACTACCTTTGAAATTGCTGTGGCAGTGTGAGACAACTTTGCAGCACAGTCAGTGTTGCATAGCACAGTGATGAAGTTCCTCTTGAGGAATACAAAGTAAAATAAGGTCAAAAGATTTTCCTACATCTTTTCTTTAAATTCCATGCTGGTTTTACTTTTTCTGTATTGCCTATCAGGATGAAATACCAAATACTGGTAGTAAAATAAAAATATACGAGTTTCCTTTTTATTTTCTTTGTCCTATCCCATTAACAGATCTAGATCTCAACTATTTGGGGTCCTTCTGATAGTAAAAGAGGAGGGAGAAAACAAAATTTACAAGTTTTTTCAGTCTGACCTCAATAATGTAAAAAAATTGGTATTGTGGCTATCAACAGGCTGGCAAATGTTCAGATAGAACTTTTTGGGTATGCTAGAGAATACGTTATTGTAATAACCTGAGTCCATTCTGCATCAGTTTCTGTTGACCAGACATAAACCACTGAAGTACCTTACAGGCCATTATTTACATGTCCTCTGTTATGGGTTATTAACCATGATGAATTGTTAGCTAGTAATACTCTACATGCAGATGAATATTTATAGGAGTTCTCAGTAGAAATATATTTTAATGGGAGAGCAGGATTGCCTTTATCCAAGATATAAGACAAAGCAGTCTCTCTAGATTTGATAGACTATTTCATTCCATTTAAAAATCAAAAAAGAGAAAAATTTTGTCCCTCACTCACCACATCTACAAAGCAGAATATGTCAGAAAACCACAGCAAGCTGTGACTTGCAAACAGACCTGTTCAAGGAAAACTTTGTAGCCTGAGGGCAAAGATGGCAGAATTACTAAAGTGTCCTCAAAAGGTAAATTACATTTAATATCAAGTATTTCTTGTTATTGAACAAAAGAAGAAAAACGTGGTCTGACCCGGGCTTCCGGAGTTAGTTGCATGTTCATCTATAAGCATAGATGCATATGAATAGCATAGATGCATAGATGTCCATCTATGGATTAATTGTAGTCGGGGATACATGCCCTGGTGCACTGGAGCTCAATCTGCTCCCGTTTCCCACCAAGCCCCTCTGTGCCCAGGTGCTCAGAGGAAATGAGATGCTTTGTGTGCTGTGAATTCCTGTGCCAGATCACATAGCACTGATCTCATTGCTTAGATAATCCTAGACTCTACCCCAGCAAGGATGACAGGTTAGATGCAATTAGTGCTGTCAAATCAAATTATGGCTTGCTTATTAAATGTAAGATTTCTATTCAAGGCTAGTGGTGCTAAGCATGTTATGTGTGTTCTTCAATTCAAGCTTGTATAATCACTTTACAAATATTAATTGTTATATTATTTCATTAATATCTTCTGGGAAGTTTTATGATATTTAGTATCCTTCTGAATAATATTTTCCTTCAGTTATAATATATTACAACTGAATATATATCTATTATAACTTGTATTTATTCTATCAATTTTTTCCACTTGGGGAGTGGGGGAATGCGATGATTGTCTTTTGTTTGTTTGTTTTAAGATAAAATAGTGATTGTGTTGTGTAAGAGTCCCAGAAAGACAATGATGTCACCTTAATACTTTAGAAAGGGCTTTAGTAGCATTAGAATATTACTTAAGTAACTTTACCAGCAACTTCGAAACAACTTACAAAGCTGATTTTAAGAGTTATCTAAAAGTTTATGAGAACCACTGTAAATTAGTTAATTATAACAATAATAAAAACAATAGAAGTGGACTAATTACAGGTTAATTGCCATCTAGTCATCTCCTCAGTACAAGTTGTCACAACTCTTTCTGACTTTTGTTCTCTCGTCAGCTCAGTAGAACCCTGTTTTGTCCCTCTATGTGTCACGACTTTGGTAGCAGTTAGACTTCTGAATATGTATTGCTTTATCACTTGAAAAAACAAATATAGGAGATAACACAATAATAAGCCACTAATTTACAGGTTTATTACTGTATATTCAAAGTTGCATATTTTCATGTACAAGCACAGTAAGTTTACAGGCAAGTTAAAACAGAAAGGGTCCTAATAAGGAAGCACTAAGCCTTTGTGAAAAAAATGATGTGAAGATGCAAGTAAAAACTCTATTTAAACTAATTTCAAACTGATGTAAAAATAATTTACATCAGTGCTTTTATGACGAATGTGAAAGTTGCAAATAAACTGAGTTTGCCTACATTGTACCCAGACATCCATCTAAAAGACAATCTTTGAGATAGATTGCTCTTCATTCCGTCAGTCTAAGCACCTTCTGCATAACTATAAGCCAATTAAACACTCTTTGAATCATGTCTGGTGTATAAAAATAGCCACACTTCACTATTCAG